CCATAGGGGGTGGTCCAGAATAAGGAAGGCTGGAGAATTGCTGTGTGAGAAGCAGCAAGCTCCCTAGGTGCCTTCCTCAACTCCACACAGCTTGGCAACTGCCTTGTCCCCCCTCACAGAAGAATAGAGGGTCTTTTTGGGAAGGGTAAAGGGGAGGGTCCCTGGAGTGGGGGGCTGACTGGCATGTCTGAAGGCCTGGGCATATTCTTCAGGGGAATAAGGATCAGATCCTTACCTGTCAAAGAGGAGAACACAGTATCTCTGGGAAATGTGCCCAGCCTACACCCATAAACCCAACAGGCCCCACCTACACGCTTTGAGATTCTCATGCATGAGCAGATAACTAAGGAGCACCCTGCACTGAAGGAAAGACTCTAATGTGGAAGATAGAAACAAAAACAAACAAGAAAAATTGACTTGGGGGAAATGGAAACCATTTAGAAGAAAATGTAAAAAAAAACAAACAAAACCAAAAACTCTGTCATTAACATTCTTAGAGTAATAAGAAATTATATTGTATGCATGAAACAAGAACTGATGCAATTCAGAGAACAAATATTTAAAACACGATAACAAAAGTGAGAAAACTCAATTGAGGAAGTGGAACAAAAAGTTGAAGCAATTGCCCTCAGAACAGAACAAAAGACAAAGAAATGGAAGACAAAAGAGAAACTATAAAGACTTCTCCAGGAGGTCAACACTGAAATCATAGAGTACCAGAAAGAGAGAACAGAGAAAATGTAGGAAAGGAAATGAGTCAAGAAATTATTCAGAAAAACTTTACAGGGCTGAAAAACATAAATTTCCAGATTGAAAAGGCCCAATGAGTATCCAACACTGTGGGGGAAAATACGCCCAGATCAAGGCACATCACTGAAATTTCAGAACCTGGGAACAGAGAAGATCCTAAAAATTTTCAAAGAGAAAACAGCTTATATTTGAAAGATCAAAAATCAGAATGAGTTTAGGTTTATTAAAAGCAACACTGATAAAAGAAGATAATGAAACGACGCTTTTAAAATTCTGAATAAAAACTTATTTTCAATCTAGAATTCTACACCCAGCCAAACTCTCAAATGGATATAAAGTATTTGTAGATACTTTCAGACTTTCAAAGTCTCAACAATTTCACCCACCGTGCACTGTTTCTCAGGAAACTACTGGTTGTCCCCCACCAAAATAAGAGAGTAAGCTAAGAAAGGAAAAGTTGAGACAGAAACAGGAGAGCCAACACAGGAGACAAAGAAGTCTCAAGGAAGTCTCCAGGTGATGGTGAAGGGAGATCCCAGGATAAAATCTATATCCTGGACGTGGAGGGCAACCAGGCCAAAGCGGCAGTGAACTTCAGAAACAAACAAGTTGAGGGCTGTCATCACCATACCCTCTTCCATTACATCATTTTTTTTTCAACTTACTGGAACTATTCTAGAATGTGCTCCACCAAAGGAATAAATTGAGAAAGAGGAACATGACAGATTTAGGAAACAGGGAACCCAACTGAAGAGATAAGCAAAGGAGACCCCAAGGGTTACGGTAGAGAGAAGTCCCAAGTATGTAACAGGCTAGGGCTCAATCAGCCAGATAGAAGAGACTCTGGATTCTAAAAAAAGCAGTGAGACTGAGAAATTCCTGGATATGATTGACCTGGTGGAAATTTGTATTGAGAAGCCACTGGAAGGTATAAAAACAAAGCAAGGCAAATTAAAAGATAGGGCGGCTAATATAATCATGGTATACTATGTTGCTCAGTTGGGAATAATATTTGCATACACACAATAATACAAAGAGTGAGTACTGATTTAACTAAGCTTTGATACAACTACATTGGCAGGTTCGGGAAAGTGAAGCAGAGGGGTGGTGATTTAAGACAGCTAAATCTTCCCCACGTAAGTGGAAGTCAACAGATACTGAATAAAGTCAATGCATCCAAAGACAGCAGTATACACACATTATTTTAGAAATGTGGAAACATGGAAATGCCAGGAGAAGCAACTGCGAGTTGAATGCGGTTGTCTCCAAGGAGGCCTGGGGGCAGTGAGGGGAGAGGAGACGCAGGAAACATCTGCATTTGGTTGTCTTTTCAGATCCTTTGACTTTTCAATTATGCTCATGTATTACTTTGATAAAAACAAAAAGTTATTTTAACAGGCAGAAAAGAGTTAATAACATACAGGGAATTTCCAAACCCTTTGCTTTTGCCATCACAGAAAGTATATCCCGAGTGGAGTGGATGGCACTGAAGACATGGCTGTCTTCTGCAGTCTTCTTACGGAGAGGGGGCAGGTAGCACTTCAAGGATGTGCTTTGCAGGAGGTGGTTGATATACTGGTCAAGTTCGTCCTGGCTTTCTGTAACTGGAGAGGCAAGCAAAGGAGCCAAGGAAAACAAGCTGTAGAAACACTCTAAAGGCATAGCAGTGGTTATGCATAGCACATGGCACTGAGTCGCTTTAGTGGAAGGCAACATTTTGATATAGATATTTGCACCCCACCCCACCCCTGGGGAGTAAAGAGATTTATGCAGATAATGTATGTGTTTATAAAGCTACTGTTTGGGAAAATTTCACCCTAGGAAAAGAAAATACAGGTCAAGATAGTGTTTATATCACAGCATACCAACATGAACTGAATGTGTAAAACAATCTGAGGGCCGGCAGCTGACATCTGATCCTTTTGTTTGAATTTGTCATGAGTGAGCTAAGCCTTATGGAACCCCAGCCCCAATCCCAAATACTATCCCAAAGCAAAAAACAGATCACTTCAACCCTAAATCCTGTTCAGTTTGGGAAATGTTATATACAGCGGTATCTCGGTTTTCGAACGTCTCCGTTGATGAACATTTCAGTTTATGAACGCAGTAAACCCGGGAGGCAATGCTTCGGTTTTCGAACACGCCTCATAAACCGTACATCCCTGCGGCTCCCGCTGAGGGCAAGGTCCTGAGGCCCAGCTGTCGGCTGTGGATCCCTCGGTTTCCAACGTTTCAGAGCCCGAACGGGCTCCGGAACGGATCACATTCGAAAACCGAGGCACCACTGCACATAGGATTTCAGGACTCATATCCAACCAAACCTAGATCATTCTACCATTCTTTTGAAAATTCGAACCCTGTGTTTCTGTCTTTAAAATATATTTTGTGAAAAGTCCTCATTCCTGAAACTCTTTGCCCTCTAGGATTAAAAAAGCCTCACTTATATAGTTTAGGTTTTTAAAGTGGCATTTTATTTGTTTTAATGCCTACAAGTTTCCAAAGCCTTTTTAAAAAAATTAATTTATTTTTCATTTATCTTTATTATTGAAAGTATTATAGGTGTCCCATTTTCACCCCCAATTGACCCCCTCCACCTTGCTCCCACCCCCTCCCCGGGCCTTCACCCCAT